TTTTTTTTTTTTTTTTTTTTTTTTTGTATATTTGGTTCTGTTATGTCGATGTTGGTCGATGACACTCTCCGCTCATACTTACGATGTTTGATTATATTGGACATATTGGACATGTTGGATTGAGTTGGCTTATTAAAAGGCGTCCGTCAGTTTATTGTTGATAGCTACTGGCGTTGGTTGGATTGGATATACGTGCAACCCTTGGATATACATTTGTGTCTAGTATTCTGCGATATAGGTATAGAAGGTGATAAAACGGGAGTAATAGAATGTATCTATCACAGTCACGGCATTGGGATGCTTTGTATCATTTGAACTTGGACTGAGTATAATCCTCGATTTGATACCGGCGAGCCCTCTAATAAAACAACGCTCTGCCCTAAATATATATACAAGGGTAACATTTATAGAAGAAAAACGGGGCGTTTGAGGAATCTATGCCAGAGGCAGAACGATAGATGGAGAGAGAGAAATGTAAATGTATATATTGAAATCACAAATAAAAGACATCCCACCATAACTAGATTACACAACCGAGCGCCAGCCAGGGTAGTTCCGAATAAGCACAAGACGCAGAGATACGAAACTATATACATAGAAACCCGATAACAAACCAGACCTAGTCAACTAACCAGCCATTTCGCCGAAACTACCGTTGATACCGAAGAATTGGAACCTAAGTCAAACAGTTAGCACACACTAGATTCAACAGGTAACAAGGAAGGCCGGGTGAAAAGGGGACGCACCAATCCTCAACATTCAATGTCGTTGGCGCAGTAGGTCCACTCCGAGAACTACTACTCCAATTATCATCTTGGCTGGCGTTTTCCAACCCGGCCGTGCTAAGTGGCGGATCGAGGCCTTGCATGGGCCAGGTCTGTTGGTTTTCTACGCCGAACATTTGCTGTGATTGTTGCGGTTGCACGCTTAATCCGGCTGGCATGGCGGAGAGCATCTCCGGGCTACCTTGGGTGCCGGCGCCGGAGACTGTGCGGGGCATGTGTTGGTTGTTCATCATCATGCGTTGTTGCATGTTTTGGGTTTGGAGATGGCTTTGCATTTGCAGTTGGGGGTCGACTGCGCCGTCGTGGGGGGAGGCTAGTTCGGGGAAGAAGGCTGTGCCGTCGGGGAACAGTTGCTCAGGTTGGAAGTTCTCCCAGAGGGATGGTGAGAGGTTGGGTGACGTTCGTGTGACAAGGAAGAGATCGGGAGGAGTTGCTGGGAGAGAGAATTGTCCATTGAAAGGCGTTGTTGGCCGTGTATTCCCACGGGACAGACCCGTACCAGTCAAGGATTCTCGAGGTACACCGGGCGAACCCTGGGGAAGATGTGATGCCGAAGGCGGTGGCAAGTCATCCCTGGACGGCGTAGCCGCAGGAGTTTGCGGACGAGATCGCTCATATGAGACTGGGGGAGTAGGACCTCCATTCGGCAGACCCAGATCCATATCGTCAAACTTGCGCTTGGGAGGTAGGTCGGGCCGTCTCAGAGGCGGAGGGGGATATTGGTGTTGTCCTTCAGGCCGTACACGTTGGTGTCGCTTTCCGGCAGCCTTCTGTAGGCGCTCTTCGAGAACCTTGTTGCCCAGAATGGACTCGAATAGGGTGTGCACCATTTTGGCCACCAGCCACACCTTGGATACATCCTTGAGAGCTTGCATACATATGTTGATTCTCTCTTGGCAGGTTGTGACGATGGAGGGGACGGAGGACCGCATTTGATACACATGCATGATCAATGCCGAGAACAGACTATACACACTGTTGGGAGTTAGTAACGAACAGCGAACAAAATGAAAGGCAGTAGGACAAACATGAACGCAGGAGTATATTTAATTTCATCATGTGTCTGCAGATTCTCGACAATAGACGTGATCATTCCAGCGGCCTGGAACGCAATCGTCCGTGATGGGTACGCCATTTCCTCAACCCTGTAGCTGCTTGGGACAGACGAGGCTGGCGGCATGTGCGCACGATGCAGAAGACAGAGAGTGGTATAATAATTAGCATGCAGAAGAGCAGCCCAGAAGTGGTGGCGGGACCGTTGCCAGCACACTTCCTTAGGGCAGTTCTGAAGCCAATCGGCCAAGGCCATATCCGAATGGGTGAGATCCATGGCGTTCATGCGTCTGGACTTGGATGCTACCGAGTATTGTTGCGAGAGAACCAGTCCCATGATCTCACAGAGTTTGACGTATTGGAGGAAGAACTGCACGTGCACCGGATCGGGGCCATACTCGGAAGGCAGACCAATTTCGTCTTCAACGAAATCATCTTCAGTCAACATCCCGACGTCCGAATCGTCAGTGTTGATGCCAATCGGGCGTCCAAGTGCCACGGCTACAGAGCGATCCCGCGTGAAAAGGGTCCACCAGATCCGCTTCCACAGTCTCTTGTCAGGCTTGCTGAGCTGGGACGATTCGACGCTTCTATGCATGCCAGATCCTTGTGCGACGACCATGGCAACCCTCGTCCAGTAAAAGACGTTCTTGGTAACATCTTCGGGGCCTTCCCAGTACCAGCCCAGGAGGACCAATGCCTGCACAATGGTGACCCGGTCATCCTCGTAGTTTGCATCGTACAACGCCTTTGCCCGCTTGTAGAATGTCATGGCCGCTGGCGTGGTCGAACCATTGGAGTCCATGAGCTGGGAGTTCGTGCACACCCTAGAGCCGGCAAGGAGAATGGCTTGCAGCAGCAGCAAGGACGGAGGGTTCTTCGGATCGCGGTATTGACACATGAACCGGTTGCGGTTGATAATGGGAACGACAGGAGCGACCCATCTAAAGTATGCATCCACCAATTCATCACAGAGCGGCTTCGGTGGCAGTAGGAATGCACCTCGTTGGTGGAGGATGTCGAGTTCGAGACTATCCAGTTCCGTCAAGGTGGAACGTGATCCCCTGACATTCGGCGGGAGAGGATAATGGACGACATCCGTAGTGCCATGACGATCCTGGACCAGGAGAGACAAGTTCGACGATTCTCCGAGATAAGCGACTCGACCAGCTTCTTTTATCGGTGCGCGTGCAAACTTGGGTTTCATAAGTTGGGCATAAGCGGAGTTCTGGGAATCCTGTTGCTCGGCCTGCGAGTCGGTAAGGGTTGTAGCTGGCATGCCGTCGACGGCCATGCGGTCCTTTCGGTATCCAAAAGCAGCATCTTTCTCCTGCGAAGGGAAGACGGTTTGCCGGGGCTTTATGTCGTTGCGCTCGTCGTTCCTACAAAAGTCCGATTAGTCCTGGTCGCGGAGCACGCGCGGACAATATATACCCAGTTTCATACCCATTCGGCTCTTTCGACTTTGCATTCTTTTTGCGCTTTGGCGTTGGGATTTTGCACTCGATCGAAAAGGCTACACAGTTGGTGCATGGCACGCCTAGACTGGCAGCATCGCAACGAACCTGGACACGGGCGCGGTCAGCGGTCAGCGGTCGGGGGGTCAGATGGGACAGCGACGGGACGACTCACTTTTCGAGCATGGCAGGTCTATAATGCGAATAAACATTAGCCATAATCATAAAAACAAGAAAAAGAAATGACAACGATAGGTCGATAGATATGCGCCAGTATGTATGCACCAACGTGCCTGCAAGCCATGGCCACCGCCCAAAACAGCCTCGGCACCTCGGCTCATACAGTCGCGTCGACCCTCGAAGGAAGCAAAAAAGCGACCAGACAGCAACGAGAACAAATAAAAAACATACCTCACAAGCGCGCGACGCCCGTTGTCTGTCAGATTAGATAAATTAGCATGTGTCTTTCCTTTCCTTTTACCCCGGATTATAGCCCATCCATTCCAACTCTCTTCACTTGCATCCCCCTCAACCCCGCGACAGCACCGCAACCACCACCCAATCCTCACCAACCATAGGTATAACCCACCTTCTGAAACTCATCTGGCCGTTTGGACCGGTGCGCACGGTAATTCCCGAAGTGCCCGTCGAGCCCGCAGTACTCGGGGCCGGGGAGACTTTGGAGGAAGCAGCAGGAGCAGCAGAATCGTGGTAAGAGTCCGCGGCGGTGTTCATTGCCTGGTGTAGAGCAGTTGGGTATATTTATTTCTCCATCCAGTCTAGTCGTAAAGGCTGAAGGATATAGTAATCAAGAAGAAGAACTAAGATATAGGTGCGTTTCAGCTGGATTGTCGTTGGAAGGGAAAGAAGAGAGATCAAAGAATGGAAGCGTCGATAGTTTCGGGCGTGTCGTTAGTCAGGCTGGGTTCGTTGGCCCTTTTTTTCGCAACTCGATTTTCGGGGTCGTTAATGAAACAGGGGGAGAGGGACCTTGAAGAGTGTACTCTGTACAGTAGTAGTAGCCACCACGGAGAACAAACAGTAATAGGGAAGAAAACTCCAAATAATTTCTTCCTGCAATGTAATGGACAAGGGTGCTGGCTGTTCTGGGGCTAATGCAGCCAAAAGGGAGACGGAGGCTCCCTGGGACGGTGTGTGGAAATACCGTTTTCACTACTGGCTTGTGCTTCGTACGCATATGTCAGGTCTACTTCCACGCTCAGACCAGTATTTGGCCCTGGAAAGGCGTTGTGACGTCCTCTTTGGGAAGAGTTTGCGACTGCATTCATATTTTACTATCACTCCAGACCGGGTTCATTGTACTGTGTACCAGCCTTTTGCTATGGCTCTATACATCCATTCAACTATGCTATGTATACACCTACTCGTATCCCTCTGCATACAGACGCACCCCCGCAACCCCAGACTCTGAATCCCTTGTGATGCCGAGGTCCAGCATCCAGATATGTACATGTCTACACTGTCATTATGCCAATCTCTCGCTTGGCATTGTCGATCTAGGGGCGTTATGTATTGTATCAGGATGCTACTAGTACCAGGCAAACACCAATAATTGATCCATTATTCCATCCAAGTTCTATAAACACATGCCAGATTAGATATATTACAGCACGTATTGGCCCAGAAGTTTATTACACAGTAGATGCGAAAATAAAATCAAAAAAGAAGAAAACGAGAAAAAGATAGATCAGTGCCTCCGGTCCGATTCCACACTCCCATCAACAGCTTTGACTGCTGCACTCGCAGTCTTGATATCCACCCCGCTGACAAAAACCTCGCTCAGGAACTCCAGCCCCGCCACGAACGTGCATAGGAAACTGGCTATGCAGAAATGACTGATCGTCGTTCCAATGTCCAGCCAAGATCCCTCATCTTTCACCATGTAAAAGAAGTTCAGCGTCATCACGTCTGATATCGACATGACTACCATGAACAGCGCGGAAGGCGGGACTTGTAGTCTGCGGTTCAGGATGCCCAGGTTCGCGCTGATGATTGCAAACGGGATTAGGAGTTTGAGGATGAGGAGGGCGCCTTGGCTGAAGGGGTTAAAGACGGGGATGAGGCGGTACACGGATTCGAGGGAGAAGGAGGAGATGGAGGCGATGTTGCCCGTGCTGAAGAAGGCGGATTGGAGGAGGAAGAAGAAGAATAGGGCGACGCGAGTGTCGGAGAGGGTTAGGGAGCGGTAGTGGTAGGTTTGGCCTGAGACGGTTGTGGAGGATTCGGTGCTTTGTTTCTTGGGGACATTGTTGGCCTTGCCGGATGGTTTGGCCGGTGCAGCGGTATGGACGTAGATTGCATGTTCGAGTCGGACCCAGGTGATCAGGGTCATGCAGAACACAAAGTAGAACAGTCCTTCGTAGGAAATGGTAAGGATAATAAAGGTAGGCGAGAATGTGAGGAAGAGCACCATCAACCGGTGGATATAGTGGCCGTTAGGATACAGACGGTGGGAGAACGGCAGCAGCAGAGATGCAACAAGAACACCCCATCCAACCACCTGATTACCAAGCGGAAGTCCTTGCTTAGCTTGCAGAGAAGCAGCACTGGAACGGGTAACAATCGTCGCAAGCAACACCATGCCAATCTGCATGCCCATGATGATCCGCGAACCACTGTTATTCACGGCATCGGAAGCCTGTGTCTTGCCCCGCTTCAATATATCGCCTTCGAATAGAAGATACAAGAGACCGGTGAAAAACATCAGCAAGGCACCTTGGGTTATCGTGGTGATGCTTTCGATCTTCACTACCGGCAACAGAGTAAATGTACTCATAAGACAGCAGCCGATGACCCATGTTGCTGACAAGAACGCATGCTTCTTGACAAAGTTAACGCCATACGCGACGGGCCACAAGGCACCCAACACAAAACAAACCGTGAAGATCTCCCGATGGAAATAAGATTGGACCAATCCTTCTAGAACACCAAGAAATATCACAATCTGAACTCCAAAACTTAAATAACCCGCGGCTGAATTGACATGGCCCAGCAAGATCGCGCGACCAGCAGACAACGCCTTTCGCCGAGCAATCACTTCCTCCCAGAAATAGATTGGGAAGGCCGCATAGAAATAATATCTCCACGAGGACTGCTGATATAGCAGAACGGAAAAGAGAGCGACCAAAACGGACGAGAAGAAAATGGTGCTCTCCAGCGTTCGGTTAGAATCGGAAGTCCCATGCAAGACGTGCAAGTCAATGACAGTGGTCAGCGCATAGGTGATCCATCCCAAGTAGCCCAGAGTGACTATTGTTCTTAAGAACAACCAGTCATACGTCTGCAGGTAGCGAAGACCTTCCAGAGCGGTCACCATGAGCGCGGAAGACATTGTGATAGACTCATCGTATGCGCCAGCGGTGATCAATCCGTCAATCGACCTGAGATGCTCCTCTACAGAGGTCTCACTGTGGTCCGCTAACGGCTCATAGGGCGTATACCGAAGCAACACAGCCCGCTTTTGCTCCTCCTTGACACGGTACATTTCCAGAATTTCCCGCGCGTTCGCGAAGGAAGCCAGCGCCTTCTCCCTGGGACTAGCATTGATGTAATCCAATGGCAATTGTCCAACAGAGTTGACAGGAAAGTCAAGTCCGGCCAAGTATGTCATCAGGGCAGCGACATCGGCCTGCGCGACATCGTGGCGTTGGATGCTGTCCAGAGCCCAGTCAGACGAGACTCCATCCTCATGGCCAGACGGAGCGCCCCCCTGAGGCGTGCGCGGAGTAGCCACACCAGATCCCCAGGCGACCAGGGGTGTCCTGGTGTTGTCAGGATGCCCATCCCCATGACTGCCCAAGTCACTCATGCCATGATCCGCGGTGAAGATAAACGCAGTCTTATCATCATTGTAAAAGTCCTCCACAATCTTTGTGATCTCCTTGACCCCTTGATCCACGACCTTGATGTTGTGCAGGTATTCCTTAGAATAAGGACGGTACGCATGGCCGGTAGTATCGAGACCGAGAAGATGCAGAAAGAAGACCAACTTATCCTCGCGCAGCTTCGCATTCAATTCCGGATCCACCTTCGCCGACGCAAAAAGCCCTTTCACCTTATCAAACACCCACGTATCCAACAGCGTCGCATCAGTCGTATAGTCCTCCGCCTCTTCCCCATACATATCCGCATCAACCTTCCCAGGAACCGCCCCCTCCTTAAACATAGCCAAGATATCCGGACTCCCCCAACTCCACGTATGCCGACTGCGATTAAACACACTGTCAAAATTCACCGGGTTCAACTTCCACCCCGTCGTCACCGACGACACATCCTCATACAATCCCGCAATAAGCGCAACATGGCCCGGTCTCGACTCAGTAGGCACACGGGTATGCGAAATCCCAAACGTCCCGTGCGAAAGCGCCCGCGATCGAATAAACGGCGCAAGATGTATCGGGTCACTGTTCTCAGCGTCCGCAGGGTTCTCCGGCGACGGGTCAGGTAGTGCTTGGAAGGCCTTGTCGGCACGTAGGCCGTCCGCGACGAATAGGAAGAGGCGTTTCGCTGGTGCTTCGGTGTTGGGTCCGCGTTCGACGCCGAATGGCCTCATGCCACTTACGATCGGGCTGACGAAGTAGATATCGAAGATCGAGTAGGCGTATATTAGGTGGAATACCACCGCGAGGGTCAGGAACCCAACGCGGCCGAGTCGCGCCATGATTTCCCACTCTAGAGGAATTGGGGCAAACGAATGTGAAAATATAGAGTCGCCCCTCGATCACGCCCAAGGAGAAAATATAATCGGAAAATAAAAAGCAGCTGTCAATCCATCTCAGGATGTTTGAAGGACACTTAATCTGCCAAACCGCGGCGGCATCATTCGCCGGTGTCACCGCCAATCAGAGACGGCTGATGGAGCACGGCGGTGGGCTACGGTACACTGTAGTCCACTTTTACGCAGCCCCTGGAGGACCTTACGGAGGACAACTATAGTAAAGAGTATGGAGTAAACCTGTTCATGGACCAGTCTGTATACACAAAATACATGGCCTAATAAAAGCACCTAACGCCTGATTTATTCAAGAGAATCCAATTGTATCACCAAGACTCCTGCCATGCGAAAAGGCTAACCCTATTAAGACAAGTAAAAGAAACATTCGTAGCGCTATCAACCAGAAGCAGAAGCAGAAGCAGAAGAGCTATTCCGTCGCTTGGTGAGCGTGTCAATAACTCGGGTATAGAACTTTGACGCTTGTTTACGGGAGAACGTGATGTCCACCGTAAGATATTCGGGTAAGATAGCAACCAAGTCACGGTCCCGGTTCTCGTCCAAAAGGGGTATGTACTGGAATTCTGCTGATTCAAAATTGGCAGACGATACGTGGGGAACGGTCAATTTAAAGTGAAGTGCTATCCTTGGGTTAGCACATCCTTTACATTTGCAGAACAGGGTGACCAAAAACTTACTTCCGTTGCCACCAGTTTGGATACAATCGTATAGGCTGTCAGCTTCTCTCTTCTTCACGTCTCGAATGATCAGTCCTGTGAGATCACTGTAGAGGTCCTCCTTGAGCTGCGCGTACTGCGCTGCTTGGGCAGCTTCCGCACTCACGGCAGCAGTAGTACGGTTCGCACTACCCTTGATAGCGCTTCCTGGGACCTTCACTGTAGCACTTTCGAGGCTTGCAGCCGTGTTGCGAGCAGCAGAGAGTTTAGTTTGCAACGCCTTGACTTCAGACTGGGCAGCTGAAAGTTGACTAGTCGCCTCTTCGGCCTGTGACTTGAACTGGGCCACTTCCGCATCTCGGTCCTTCACTTGCTTTTGGAGTGCACGGCTTTGCTGGCCAAGTGCTCTTTGCGTCTCGAGTTCCTCCTTTAGAGAGCTAACAAGATCATTGGAAGCTGTGAAACGAACCGAGTTAGCATCCGCGAAAGCCCTTAAGATTAAGACACATACCGATTGTCATCGCATCACATTGTTTCCGTAACTTTTCCATGTTTCCATTTGCTTCAACAATTCCTATCTCCCTCAGGTTGCGGTACCTGTTTTCCAAGGTATCGCATTTCTTCGTTAGATCGCCGATTTTACGTCTCAGTTCCGGCTCTGTGCTAGTCTTCCCTTCTTCCGGTCTTCGTTTCTGCGGAGAAAGGGAGAAACGGGGGATAGAAGACCGATGGAAGATAGATTTTGTCGGCGATAAAGAGCGCCTGGGTGCTGGCTCTTCAATGATTGTCTCATCGACAACATCGGCGGCGGACTTGTGGCTCTCAGGAACGGTGTCATCGGTTTCATCAACCTCCATCTCCTGTTCCGTGGGTGACTCTGTTCGCTGTTTGGGCCTATCAAGAGACTTTGTCTTGCGGGGGGTTGGCGAGTATTGAAATTCACCATCAGACTTGATGAGCTTTTCCACATTGCTGCTGGCTTTCTTCCGACCACGGCCAGTTGTAGGTTTCGCATTCTTCGCATTCTTGGTCGCCTTTGGAGCATTATCCTGCGGAGCTTGTAGGTCGTCATCCGATGCAGCCTCTTCACTCTTCTCTTGCGCTTTCGCGCTTGGTCGTTTTGTTTGTTTGGGCTCCTCCTTTTCCGAGACCTCCTGTTCTCCTCCGTCCGTCGAAGAACGACCTCCGCTCCCCTTCGGCCTCCCTCGCTTTTTCTTCGCAGCGGGTTCTTGCGCCTGCTCCTGCACAGTAGTATTCCCCGAGCGGGTCTTCATTGGCGGAGGTAGCTTGCCTTCCGTAGCTTTCGCAGCTGGTCTTCCTCGTGCGCGTTTCGCAGGACGTTCGGTGTCGGGATCGGGGCCGCTGTCGGTGCCATTGACCTGCATGACATCCTCATCGTCGGAGCCAACAAGGCCAGAAAGCTTGGTCGTCGCCTTTCGCTTTGGCATTTTCAAATATAGTTGAATTGATCGTAGAGCTGATTGTTTGTATGTCTTTGTCCCACGCGACAGCAACACCAACAACAACAACTGCGCAGGCTCTCACCGCCTTCACACATGTGACGCCTCGGACAAGCCACACTTGCCAATCACCGCCACAGCTGCGTTCGCCGAACCGACAGACGAACCTCAACCTGCCAGCTCGATCGCATCGCTGGACTTTGGCTCTGTTGTTGCTATTTATTGTTCCTGGAGGATCCAGAATTGTGGCGAGGGTCTGTTCTCTTCTTCACTGTTGCTTATCTTGAGTTATTTGTATCAAGGCTTTTGAATTGGGTTGATTTGCGGTCATGGCGGCGCGCAGTGCACGATGGCAGCAATTCCTACAAGAGCTGGTGATGGTGGCTGGGACAGTGAGTTACTACGCTTGTGTGATACTTGATATGGTTAGCTGATTGTTTGAAGTCGGTTTCTGCATACTTCCTCATCAGATATCTCCTGTCACGTCTTGATTTCGATCCCGAGAGTCAGAAGAAAGAGGAACAACGAAAGAAGTCAGCCGCTATCCTCCGACGACTGGACGGCGGCGATGACTCGGACGATGGTTCACCACAAAAAGGAGGGAAACGGGGTAACAGACAGAGCAAGGGAGAGTTGGTTTTGACACAGTACGAACAAGCAATTGCCATGGACGTTGTGGCACCCGACGACATTCCCGTGTCGTTCGAAAATATCGGCGGTCTAGCCGAGATCATTGACGAGTTGAAAGAATCCGTTATCTATCCGTTAACCATGCCCCATCTTTACGCTTCGACGTCTTCCCTCCTCACTGCTCCGTCTGGTGTTCTGTTGTACGGTCCTCCTGGTTGCGGAAAGACGATGTTGGCCAAGGCCCTTGCTCACGAAAGCGGAGCGTGCTTTATCAATTTGCATATCTCGACATTGACGGAAAAGTGGTACGGTGATTCGAATAAACTTGTCAATGCTGTTTTTAGCCTGGCCCGAAAACTGCAACCTGCGATTGTTTTCATCGACGAGATCGATGCCGTGTTGGGCACAAGACGGAGCGGTGAACACGAGGCTAGTGGTATGGTCAAGGCTGAATTCATGACACATTGGGATGGTCTTACATCATCCAATTCGTCAGGAGAGCCTCAGCGTGTTGTCGTGCTTGGTGCTACTAATCGTATCCAAGATATTGACGATGCCATTCTTCGACGGATGCCTAAGAAATTCCCTGTGGCACTCCCTGCGGCTGAACAGCGATTGAGGATTCTCAACCTCGTTCTCAAAGACACTAAGATTGATTTCGACAACTTCGATCTCCAATACCTCGTCAAGGGAATGGCCGGTATGTCCGGCAGCGACATTAAGGAATCTTGCCGTGATGCCGCCATGGTTCCTGTCCGAGAGTTAATCCGACAGAAGACAGCGGAAGGGCAGATGATGACTGCTGTTGATCCAACGAACGTCCGAGGCCTTCGAACTGAAGACTTCTTCACGCAGGCCGGAGGTGTTAAAATAATTTCTCCCCCAGGGCAATCCCAATCCAGCAAGCAGGCCTCGGAGAAGGAATGGAGTACCGACGACGCAACATCCGAAGCTGGTACACGACCGTCCACGGAGATGGCAGAGCCTCCCGAGTAAGCGTGATTGATTCACGCTCGTTTCTTTTTATTTGTTTCATATAACGCTTGTATATGCCAGCCATCTACAGTGCAAGGGGAATGGCGTTATGTTCTGGATATTCATGCAATTCTCCTTTCTACATGGCCGCTGGGTCATCCATGTTTAACGAGATATACCACTTTGTTTCAAGCCTTTTGTGGATAGACTATCTGATCGTTCTCTGTACTATCTATTGCAGTGGGTACCATCTCCGTTCATGAATTCGTATATAGAAGAGTATATGGCGTTCAGTAAGAGGATTTCAATTTCAACTGCAGATGATTGACATTATTCTCCGTGTGTTATGTGCATCGATATCTTGCATTGTATCGTGGTAACATGTCCAATGCGAGCCATACAAATGGCCGAGAGATAGTACGAATTTCCCTTTTGGGAGCGGCGAGTGTCGATCCAGCGACCGGAACACCTGACAGTTTTGGCGCCCAGAAAACACACAAACCTGACAATTATATACCAATATTACATTTGTTCCTTTCTTTCCCCTGTTTGAATCAGTGATTCTTTGCTTGTTTCCTCCCCTGTTTAATCTGTAGTAGACGCTGCAACTTCCCCGTACTGCAGCTCTCGCCTCCCCGCGCCCAGCCCTGTGGCTACGTACACTCCCCCGAGGGTCGGCCGACATCATCAAGGAGACTCTCACTCCTACCTCACACTTTCTCCTTCTTATTGCACTATTCCTCGATTCGATTTCTCGGCAGACAATTTACTTCTAATCCCTTCTAACTCACAAATCCCAAAAGGAAACCAATCTATGCCTCCTGGAGCAGTCCTACGCTCTCTTGCCCCCCGAAGCTTCAGGACACGGATGCGAAACATCGACCGAATAACGAAGGGTCTCTGCCAGGAGACATCGATGGACGGTCTATAACTTGAGAGAGCTGGTTCGAAGGTGATCTGAACGATCTACGACAATCATCCTACGATCACAACCTACACTTCCACCAACGGGAATGAGTTCCAGTAGCGGCCTTCGCGATGGCCTCAGCCCCGGTGCCGCAACGAACACAACCTCACGATCGAACTCGGCAATCCGATCACGCACACGCCGCTTAGTCTCGTTCAATGACGACGAGGAGGAGAATAGCGGAATGACACGGCCGTCGTCTGCGCTGTCCTCGAGCCTTGCGTCGGATCGACAAACTGCCCGATCTCGAGGTGCGACGCCATCGCCGTTCACATCAAGAGGAGCTTCCCCCCTTCCCATGAGTCATCCCTCGCGAGCTACGGAGTCCGTGAATAATCGTGGTAGACAGAATGGTGGGGGCGGTGGTTCTTCAGGTGCGTTCAGTTATGATGGGAAGGATCAGCTTGGTTTTGCTGAGTCGTCGCGGGCTGCTGTAGATCTTTTGGATGCGTCTTGGTCGTCGCTGCAGAGTCTGGCTTCCTCGGTTTTAGGGAGTGATATTGCTCGGCCGGCTGCCAATGGTAGTCCGCGGGCGCATGCTAGGAAGCCGTCTCGTTCGGACCCGTGGATGCGGAATACTTCGAGGACCAGTACGCCGTCGTCATGGGGGCCGTCATCACCAGGGACGCCGGAGATTGGATCTGGGACGAGAGAGGAGCGGCAAGCGTATGTGCAAGCAAAGAAGCGGGAAGCGCTGCTTCTGGCGGATACAGGGCCGAGTACTAGCCTGAACACACGACACAAACGGCGAGATTCCAGCGATACCCCGGTTCACTCAACCATTGATCCTGATCAGGATGAAGAGGCGTTGGTGTACATACACCATGTCCAGAAGACCGACACCATGACTAGTGTTACCATCCGATATGGTTGCCAACCAGCAATCTTTCGAAAGGCCAATGGCTTTTGGCCTAGCGATAGCATTCAGAGCAGGAAGACAGTTCTTCTACCGGTGGATTCTTGCTCGGTCAAGGGGCGACCCATTCGTTCTAAGACAAATACAGATCTTTTGGATGGTACGGAGGGCCTCGATGGGAGCTCGATCTCCCCAGCACCGGATGGTACAGATCGGAAAGAAGCGACATCGACCGAGGTTGAAGGGGACCGGGTATGGAAGCCCGAATCATGGGTACAGATCGAGAACTTTACAGATCCCGTGGAAATCGGACGTGTCCCTCGAAGGGCATTGGGATTCTTCCCGCGTACGCGCCGGAAATCTATTTCTTACTCTGACGCAGAATCGCCATCGATATCCCAGGGAACGACAACCGACACGGCATCATCATCCGTATCCTCTCTTCACGATTCGCAGTCCTCACAATCCACCGTCATTCCACCAAGCCGGCCACATGCGGGTCCGCCAGGGTTTAAAAAGCCCGGCGCCCGCCACCAACGCCAACGCAGCAACATCCAACTCGCAGGCCCAGGAGTAGGCACACTAGACCGCAGCACAATGGCCCCGGGGCCTGCTTTAGACGGCCTAAGCAAATTCCTGTCCCAACACCTACCAACCCTAGCGCCCCCGCCGCCACCAACCACCAACCCAGACAGCGGCGCCTTCGAATCAACCTCTACCACACACGGTACCGCAGCGAACAGCCTCGATAACATCGGCGGCGCATTCGAAGGCTGGTTCAAGAAAGTGACAACCCGCGCAAAGGCCGGCTTCAACGAACTCCAGCAAACCACCTCAAACCCAGGCAGTGGCCGACTGCAACCTACAACAACGGAAAGCGACCTAATCGAAATGGACGACAGCTTGGAATCGAGAAATAATTATAATCTCTTGGGAGAGCCCGGCAGGAAACCAGATTACAACCGTGCCGGATCATCCGCATCTGCCCTGGGAGATCGACACGGCAACGGGACGAGCAGGACTCGTACCACCGGTGGATCGAGCTATAAGGATGATTGATTGATCCTGAATCATCATTTCTGTGCCAGTACATACATAATAGATCTTTGCGTTCGATTCAGAGTCTTATGTCTTTGCTTGCCATTATCCAGCGCTGAGCTTGAGCTTGAGCTTCAATCGGTTTTATACTACCCCCTTCAGTGAATCGTGTTTTGTTTCTCAGTATACTATATTATTCGTTTGTTTTGGTTTTTTCATGCTTGTTTTAAGTATACATAGCATGGCGCAATGGGAAATTTTGACTTGGTTCTTTGATATATATATATATATATATATAGTGCATCGGAGGTCGGTAGCATAGATGGTACTTGCTTCTCGCTCAATTCCTCTTTCAGAGATGTATTAAATCCATCAGGCGTGTTGGAGCATGACTTACTCGTCCTATAGCCCCTCCTTCACTCGTTCCGAGAAGCCACGGCTTCATAACACCAGAATCCTGTTGGACTAAGCTTGTGAAGAACGGATTTCTTTTACGAAACTTCATCTCCGATTTCATCTATCAGAAACCGATGGGGAATGTCATGACTTGACGGAATGGCGTGACTGCATCGCGTTCTGGTGGCCCTTTGGACCTTTAGTATGGTTGGCTTTGCGCGTATCGCCAACCAGCAAATAAGTTGTTTGGATCAGCGTGTCGATATACCTGACACAGAAGCAGGTGCACGCGAATATATCGTGCCACCGGGATAAAACAAACCGTAGTATCTATGTCCACCCTATTGTGGCGGTTCGTAATTTCTTGTGGGGATTTGCGTCTGCGGCACAGCTTTCACTAGATGGTAATCCCACTCACTGATTATGGTGCTCGGTTTCATCGAGGAGGCTCTATGCTGGTTTGAAGGGTTGTAGTGGGTCTCATGTCTTCGTTGTAGCCCCATGGCAAGTGCAGTTCGACTGATAGAATATATAGCTGGGAACATGTAGCTAAGTACGGGTTTGCGATAGTTATTTTGTCATAACGTGCATCACTGAGCGGTATTGTGTGTGGGTGGTCCATATTAGATAGCCAATAGAACATATCATACCAAGCAGATATTATTGCTGACGTCTTCCTATGGACAGTAGACTTATCCACATGATTTGAATGAATCGACTATATGGAACATCGAAGATTCATGTTTGGTCCAGTTTGTAACGCTCAATCCAAAATGTAATATCTTGTTGGTAATGAGGCTTCAACTGGAATGTAGGTTGTACCTGAATGTCTCGGAACTTCATTTCGAATAGTAAAGGGAGCTCTGGGTCCTTTTACTTTCAGTGAGTAGATCTCGTCAACCGTAAAGTGACGCATCTTCTTGAGAGGAAGGGAAGTTCACTTTCTCCTTCCATTTGTGGGTGTCATACTTTTTCCCCCAACTGCTGCTGGCCATTGGACATAGTAACGGCATCATTAGGGAATGGTATGGTTTGCTGTCTCGATATGAGTGGTAGGCGGACCTGTAGTCAATTCGGCAAGACATTCCGCAGCCTTGGAGATGTCCCCATGCGTGATGCTTATAGCGTAAAGCCGTATGAACGGGAGGATGGTCGATCATCTGGCAGGGCAGCGGGAACGGCTCCCTCGAGGCAAATGATCGTTTTGCTGACTGAGAGGGTATCTGAGGTCCCCCGGAAAAGCAAGTATTGTTGCACGAGGAATTTAGGTCCCAGGTATAAACCTTCCGCGATGTAGTTTGGCTTTCCCAGTATTAATGCATGTTTTAAAAGTAAGCAGGCTCAAGACGGCCTATCATACGTTTATTGCTCGTTTATGCCGCAATATTCTTTTCCAGTGAATGTAAGAACCTCTGCCAATTGCTCGAGCACTTTCTTCTGCATTTCGTTTATGAGTATCATATTCCCTCGGCCTTTCTCAATTGGAATTTGGCCTGCACCAGGGCGTGACTTGGTGCTTTGAGGTTTTTGCAATGGCGTGTCAATATAGCTAGGGAAGACTAGACAAGCTCGAATTTCGCGAAATAGTCATGTATCCAGCATTCATACCCTCGCTATTTGGCGTCATTTAAAAGAAGGAAGAAGGGGAGCCGTATTGCTATACGTGTGAGATGTGACCATCACGAATCTCCAATCCGTTTGACTGCTGCGATATCACCCACCCACCCAGCCCAGCTCTGCATCTGCATCTGCAGGTAGTTATGTTGAGCCATGCCACAGTGGCTTTTCGACTTTGTATTTCAAGTATGTAATTGAAGTTGTACGTTGCGTTGCGAGGTAGTGTCCTTGCAAACTCTGAGCACCAGAAGCTTTCTCACACCGTAGAAAAGCGCTGTATGGTGTCATCTGGTGCATTGTATTTCTCACATTTGAAGATCTGGGTGGTTCGAAATGATAGGTTTGAATAGCGCGGGTTCTGACGATTCCATAGGTGAAAGTGTGACTTTGTCAAGTATATTGGCCAAACAGAAACATCACTTTGATGTTTCTCAACACCGTCTTGTCCAAATCGATGCGTGAAGGTACCACAATATCTTCGTCCGGGATTCTGAGTGGGGTTTTCTATCATCGATCCGCCAGCGTCTGCAACATTGAGTCACTGCTCCCTCAGTCCAAAAATCCCAAGGTCATAGGGTCGTTGGCAGAAGATTGGCCAATACCAGATGCTCCCACGCTATTCAGAATATTTTGAAAGTGATGCTGATTGTATGGCCAGTATATTCATAGATCGACACGTCCATTACAATGAAAGTGTGGTGTGGAGGCTCTCATACCATTGGGTCAAGGGATTCCGTTCTGTAATTTGCAGATATGGCAAGACCAAAAAAGTATACTGGAAAAGGGGGTATAGTTGTCGGTTCCAGCGTAGAATGGACAGCGCAATTAGCCAAGAGATTCCATTTGTGGGCATTATTTCGTTCTAAGGAAATCGAATATCAACCATTCGAGATATCGGAGTTCATTGGTAGTTCCCATCAATACTTGCGAATGTATGTGCTTTTAGTAAACTCCCCACGATTTTTGTAGTTAGTCGCGCTCTGGAAGACGATGCCGCTAGCTGGCCACTGAGATGATTGAGAGGTATCGGAGATGTCTCTTGCAGAAAATTCACTGTAGCCTCATCAATGTCTTAAAGATAGGATCACTCAATAGAGCTTGAATTTGGGACCAATGTGTAAACTATATCTCATGCACCCAAGATCTATGCCAAAACATGCAAAACCGAAATGAACAAACAACAAGAGCAACCTACGTGATCATAAGTATACGCATACTCAGCAGGGTCGTAGCCCCACCGGGGATCCGCAGTCTTCTTGTGGCAGACGATAATATTGTCGGCGTGTAAGCTAAGATGAGGGCCAATACTTTCTTTGCACACATAAACTCCCACAATATGACGCGATTCTCTCTTATTCCCGTGGAAATTTTCTACTCCATATTCAGTCTCCTAAGCAAACCAGACCTTTCTCGCCTATCCCGGACGTGCAAACAAATCCACCAACTAGCCACCCCGCGTCTCTGGAGAAGCTACCGCAACTACAACCAACAACCCTACAACCTATTCCTGCGCGCTGTACTCACCAACCCAGACCTCGCCAAGCATATTATAGAACTTCACACGTCGAATGTATCCGAAGATGACCCTCGCGAAATCTCAGAGGAAGACATCGAATCCTTCCAATCAGCAGTCTCGGACCTCTCACTCCCTATCGAATTCAAAGATCGCCTGAATGAGGGCATCAAAGAAGGCTACAGCGACCCGATGCTTGCTCTTTCACTCTGCAAGCTACCAAATCTGAAGAACCTGTTCCTATACCGACCTGATTTCAGCGACCTGATATGCGAGCTGTTTGACCACGCCAATTCGGGTGAATTTTCCGGCCTTGACAACCTCCGACGATTCTCCATAGAAACCACCGACGTTTCTTGTGCTGTTGGAACTGTTCGGGACTTTGGGGGCGTTTTTAACAGGGCGCACGAGGTGCAAATCGTACAGCTAAACGATGAGAATATGAGTCCGTCCCGATTCCGAGAGGGCACGTCTGCAGTTGAGCATCTTCACATCCTCGAGAGTGGCATGGGAACCGACGCCATGCGGGTATTCGTGCAGGGCTGCAGAACGCTCCGCACATTCAACTATACTTTCGGGAATGTTGATTACTACGAGGACCATTTCAAACCACAGGAGGCCGTGAAAGAGCTTGAGCATCATAAAGACACGCTTGAGGAGCTCACTGTTCTGTACTGCGATGACCGTCTAAAGCAGTCTTGGTACGACTTGACAGGTCGCGAATGGTACATGGGGACTGAGCTGCAGCAATTCAACAAGTTGAAGAAGCTTCGGAGTGGTATGCATAGTCTGCTCGGGCTATTGCATCCACAGACCGCTGCGATGGAGACATATCCTGCAAATCCTCAGACTGATAGAGAAAGACCAGAGCTGGTAGACGTGCTTCCAGCGTCAATAGAGCATTTGACGATTTTGTACGCTGATGCGCGGATTATTCCTCATTTACAGAAGGTCGGGGATGTCCGCGAGAAGCAATTTCCCAGTCTGAAAAAGGTTATCGTCGGGCTTTGTTCAGAGTCAACGGAGAAGGACGTTCAATTGGAAATTCCAGGGCTAGACTTGTTGGTGCTGTATCAGACTCAGGAGGAACGAGAGGCCTACGTCTATGACCGAGATGCCTATTCGTGGGTTGGGTCTCCGGTTTTCAGGGACTGATTTATAGTTATTATTATATTTTCAGTGTTGTGTTTTAGATAATTGCCACTATGGTCATGGGAAACGTTCAAATTAATGTAATGCACACCCTGCATATTCATTTCAAAGTTCCCATGTTGGCTTGATTATCGCCAGATTCTGGGACCACAAGGTGACTGGAAGATCCTCAACCCGAAACTTAGGCCAGGAGGATTTAGTTTCGAATAATGCAACGTCTGGACCCCGGATGTTGACGACACCGCCGCTGCAGTTCTTGCTTTTGTCAAGAAAGAACCCCAGTCAGTTGGTTCCGAAGCGGTTCTCCGTGCCATTGAATGGATACTGGGTATGTAAAACAACGATGGAGGCTGGGGCACTTTCGACCGTGAAAAAAACAAACTGTTTCTCAACCGCATACCGTTCAGTGACATGGAAGCCATGTGCGACCCGTCCGAGGCAGATGTAACAGCGCGAATTCTGGAGGCGTTTGGTCTTGTGATGAAATTTGATTCGCACACGAAGCCATATGTCCCTATCGACATGAAGAAAGCAATGAGGCTGTCAGCTGACCGTGCCATGCAGTTCCTTGCCAACGAGCAGGAGACAACCGGAGCATGGTTCGGCCGCTGGGGTGTCAATTTCATACATGGAACAAGCAACGTAGTGTGTGGTCTCGCAGAGTACAAATCTGCCCAAAACACTGCAGGCGCTCGCATTGGAGATTGGATATAAAAAGCGGGTTGACTGGCTGATCTCAATCCAGAATCAAGATGGAGGATGGGGTGAATTTCTGGAAACCTATTGAGACCCTAGCACAGTAGGCCGGGGGCCATCAACGCCGTCGCAAACGGCCTGGGCACTCATGGCTCTGCTTACATCGCTTCCTCCTTCGCACCCGGCGATTACAGGCAGGGTCCATCTCATCGCCACTGGCGAGTATGATATACGACAGTTCTTCATCTGCTTTACAGCAACAGTGTGGGGTCGCAATCTGCGTCGGCCCTTTTAGCGCATGCCCCAGATATTGCCGGCGCTTATGCAGCTGCTCAGAAGTTGCGGGAATATGTCCAGGATTCCCAGGGCATGCAATCGCCTGATGAGACGGCTAATACTAGATCCGTCCCTACTGCTACAGCAGATATGGCAATGGAATGTGTGCGGTTTAGCTACCCCACCCGTCCTTCCCAATTGACTCTAGATGATGTCAGTCTGGATGTTCCTGCTGGTGCCTTCGTCGCTCTTGTTGGAGCTACAGGGAGCGGTAAAAGCTCTGTGATTAACCTGCTGGAGCGTTTTTATCCTCCAAATTCTGGCAGGATCACGCTGGGAGATAATCATATCGAGGCCTATGACTTGGATAGCTACTATAGGTACCTGGAACTTGTGAATCAGAATCCCTGCCTCATTGGAGAGGATTTACGAGAGTGTTTGCAGAGCGATGATTGTGTAGTGTCAGATGCTGAGATTCTAGAGGCGTTGGGGAGTGTTGGCCTGGATGACTTTGTGGTATGTTGTGGTCTAGTGGTATGACTCCCTCTATACTGACTGGATACAAGGTATCCCTTCCACATAGTCTGGGCACCCCCATCTCGGGCAATGGCTCAACACTGTCTGGTGGTCAACGACAACGCATGGCCATCGCAAAGGCTCTTCTTCGTAATCCTAGAGTCCTGTAAGACTTTTTCCTACTATCTTCATTTGAGGTGATCGTCTTAACGTTCCATACAATCTACTCGATGAGGCTACCCCTGCCCTAGACACTGCCTCGGAGAAATTGGACCAGGGTGCACTACAAACCGCGATGAAAGGACGAACGACCATCGCCATTGCCCACCGGTTGAACACCATTGTCAACGCTGACATGATTCACCTTTTCGATCACGGGTGTATTATAGAGAGGGGAACACATGGCGGGCTGATGGAGAAACGGGGCAAGTACTGGACGATGGCGATGCTACAGCATCTTTGATAGTGTATTGATTCTCGTGTATATTTTATTTGATGTAAGTATATACGGCAAATATGTATATTTCCACCCAGAGTGAGGCCATGCGTAGGTGTCAGTAGTTCAGCTTTTGAAGCAAATTATCGGAAATGGTGGACACTGAGATCCACAGACTGGTACAACAACGGAGTACAAATGTGACGAAAATGTTTCGAGACTTCTGTCAGACTCTTATGTGCTGAAATTGAAGGCTGTTTAAAAACCAACACCCAGATTTTAAGAGGAACTAGGAGCATTGGGTGGTTCTGCTTTTCCTCCATGGTCGATTGGTGGTGTTTTGCGGGGTGTGATGTGCTATAAATGGACGTTGAATGAGCGATGATTCCTTAGCAGAGGCGGATACACTGCACTTAAATGTATCTAAGTGTGCAAAATATATTAAAGGGATTTCAGCATAGCCGTCTGTCTTTGGGGGCTGGTAGATGGCGATGTTTATGGTCAAATTGCTAGGATCGACATCACCCCAGCTCCAAGCTTACGGAGTCTGCCTCGCAACAACTAAATACTCTGGCAATGATAACTGCTATTTCGAATATAAATCTATGGATGAACCTCAATTTTCCTGTGCAAAGGAAATGTTGTTCTCTACCTTCAGCATATCCATTATACGGGCATACTACTACTTGATTTCGTTTCTTGATGAGAAAGCCCCTGGGGTGCAGCATGCTTACTTTCGCTCTCCCCAGGGGCCTTATCAATGCCTTTTTCAGCAAGCACATTACCACGCAATTGGTAGGCTTGCTCCATCTTCCAATAGAATGGACTGGAAGTGGAGAACAAGGCTTCAATCGACTCCAAAGACCGGTTGCGTGTCTCGGGGTAGAAGAGATATACTGTGGGAATCCAGATCAAGTTCAAACCGGCAAGGAGAAAGTAGCTGCGGCTCTTGATGTTGTCGAACATGATGGGGTTGACCAGCGTGGTCATACCAACCCCAATTGCCCACCCAGTGATCCCAAACCCGTTACCTTGGGCGCGCAAGTCCGAGGGGAAAATCTCTGTTGGCAGCAAAAACGCTACAGTGCCCCATGTCGCGGCATATCTGTATATTCCACTGCGTGAGTAATTGATTTGCGATAGTTTTGGAATATGTAGGCCTGTTTACTCACCCTAAGTTGAAAAGGAATAGCATTGCTACCGCTGCCGGGGCATATTGCGATGCTTTCTCGGGGCTATGAAGGGAGCCTTCGTATACGCATCCAGCCTACACGTATCCCGTTAATCTTAATGCAGCAGATCATTGTTTCTCGACTTACAATCAGCTCGACAGCGAATAGGACTGCCGACCCGAGCATAAGGCAGGGTCGGCGGCCGAGGCGGTCGACAATCTGTGCACTGATAATTGTCCCAATGATGCCAATCGTGTTTAAACCCCCTGCGAGGCCATTCTGTGTGATCTCACTGTACCCAGCCTGGCTGAGAAGGACGGGTGAATAAGCAGTGACCGCCTGGAAGAATTGTTAACAAGTGCTTGACCGTAAGCTTCCATGAAGGGGGACTTATGTACAGTGATGCCAGTCCAAGATGCCATAATCTGGAGAAACAGACAGAGCCAGGCACGTCGGCTTAAGCTCGACCCCGGTCTCTCTTCCTTGCCAACCAGAATCTTGGCAAATTGAATAGGAGAGCTTTGTTTGCTATCTCTTGCGGTGGCGATAATTTCAAGATACTCATGTTCTAACTCCCCGGGAGTCGTTTTGTGGCCTCGAATAAGAGTCAGTAACTCGAGAGCTTCATCGTTGCGTCCTACTGAGGCAAGATATCGAGGACTATCTGGAAGCATCTTGACAAAAAGAACAAGGATGATGGCCGGAATACACTGGAAGGCAAGTAAAAAGCGCCATCTGACGTCCGAATGGCCGTTATTGATGAATGCCAGACTAAAAGACAGCCAATAGGCAACCGAGATCCCAAGGTCTACTGGCTGTCGGTATATTATACAATATATCGGGGGATTAGAGGCTACACTGACAGTTTGCGATGAAGACATAACCCAAAAACCCTCCCCGATGATTGGCGGAGGAGGTTTCTGATACTAGCACTGGGACGATTCCCGTCAAGGCTATATATATAAAAGGAGTTAGCACTCGGCCAGCTACGCACATCTATTTTTGATAGATACCTACTTACCTCCTGTGCCGATCCCCGTTATGACTCTCGCGGCCAGCATGAAATCCGAGCTTTGGATGGCGGCCTGTAGGGCACCTCCCACGAGAGCGAAGATCGACCCAATGAAAAGGCCATTGATGCGACCAAGTCGATCAGCCAGCCAGCCGCCCACAAAACAGCCGAAAATGCATCCCAAATAATAGATACTGACCAAGCCCCCCTGATGCGTCGTGTCGGTCACGGTGCCACCGGAAGTGCCAATGCCAACCTCGGTGACATAGGTGGGCGAGGCGTTGACGCCTCCCATGACGCCCTGGTCATATCCCTCGAAGAAGATGGAGATGAGGGAGAAAACCTGGATTGTGATATTGAGTTGGTGTGATGAGAGCCGCCTCCATAGCGTGGTGTAGCCCATGTCGAAGAATGAAGAATGTCGAATTTCACGCCTTTCCTATAGCCAACAATAGAAAAGTTAGCGACAGGTTAGGTTTCCAAATTCATTATATATTCCGGACCGTATGACCTTATCCCAATGAGGTTCAAAATTGGAAATGAGCGGGCAATTTTACCCAAGCGTAAGGATCATTGTCATCGACTATGTGTAACATTGAGTCGTGATGAGCTGTTTAATTTTTCCTTGGTCCCTTGCTTGATATAAAAGAATATGTACCCTCCTTGCCGGAAATTCGCAGATGAGCGAGGCCTACCTCCTAGGTATGCTACTGTACGTGATATAGCCTCTATTATATGCCAAATGCCTACTGGAGCCAACTGGGTGAATCGCTTTATCAGGCGTCATGGGGAAGAATCTGACAATGACTTCAACAGCCTGTTTTCTTCGTCCGGGATCCTGTCAAGTTCCCCTCGGTAAACCGCAGCCACAAAAAGCATCCGCAGTCAAATAGTCCCGATGGAAACATGGTAAGCATCGTCCTTAGCCTTTTCTTCTTTTTTTTTTCTCTTTTTTTCATGGCTAATAAATACACCAGTTTTAGGACTTCCACAACCCCGAAAGCGTCCATGCTCTAGCTCACCTCTTTGGGTCTCGTGGCATCCCGGCCTCAGTCCGCCGCATCACAGGCTTTGGTGTGCATACATCCAAGCTAGTTGCTCCCGACGGATCCTTCAAGTGCTGCAAGTTCCACCTCCGTCCGCTGCAAGAAATAGGCAATGCGTCCTTCAACGAGGCCACGCGCCTTGTCGGTGTAAATCCGGATTTCCATACATAGGAGTTGCTCGATTATTACCAAGGTCTGGCATCAATAAGAACTTTCCGTTGATCCCTGTTGGAAAGATGACGCTGAATAAGAATGTAAATCTCTTTCTATCTTCCTTTCATTTGAGCCGATACCGATGAATACTATCCGACCAACTACTTCGTAGTAGAAGACCGCCTAACATCATATAGTGCTCCAAGTATGCATGTTTTTATACCCAGACGCCCAATGATACCGTCTCAGCGCAAACAACCAACACCCCCAACCAACCCATTGCTTCAGTAAACGCTCCCTACCAACGCGACGGCGCGGCCACGGTCACTCCCAATTACGGTACAACGCCGGGTTACATTCACAACGGATCCATACCCCGCGGCATTAAGAGCGAGACTGTATCAACTGCGCAAGCGGTGCGACATGATGAGTGGTTTCCCGGGGGGGGGGCGCTCTGGGACTAAATGAAATTCCGGATACTGAGGATGACTATGTGCAGCCGAGGGAGTTGTGGAGGAGAGTATTTGATGGTGCGGAACGGAGACTGGGTTTCGAATGTTACGAGGAGTTTGGAGGGGGTCTCGGATGATTTGAAAAGGGGTGTTATTGAGATGTTTGGGAGGATGGATTCAGAGATGGGGAATATGCTTGCGGCGGATGTCAAAGAGACTGCTAGATTGTAAGACGTGTGATAAAAGGGCTCATCGATGGGCTCATGTTCAAATAGAAGCTAAGTCCAGAGCCTCTCGACTCTGGAAGGGTTGGCAGAAGAGGGTCGAACTTTACTGGGGCCAAACAGTGACTCAGATGTGATTTGCTGACATTGTAACTCACTGAGCAGGGTCCACTTTACCGTCACTGAATACCAAAATGTGAGTATCTGTCAGAAAATAAGGCCTGACTGAGCCCTAAATAGATAGGAGGACGAAATAGCGAAGGAAAATGAAGAAAAGAAGCTTATATGATGAATGATGATAGGAAGAGAAAGCTATCTAGGGCTGTGAGGATATCTGTAGGCAAGGACTGTCATGTGACAGGTATACAGGCCCTTTGAAACAATGTCCTTGTTGCTCAGTATAACTAAATACATGCCTGTCATGGTGACCATACAATATCAATTCCCATCTTGATGTTGACAGTTCAGATCATAACAGTCCTATGCATTCCTTGGTCATAATTATGCCTGTACATAACTTCACACGTTGTTACCTGAAAACCAAAATATCCCGGTGCGTGCCATTTTTTACTGTCCAATCCGATGGGTAAACCCCGGATTATTTCTTCACCTTCATACCAGAACCCGATCACTGCGCGAATGATGGTCGATCAAAGTGGGGTTGGATATTCAGCCACCGTTTCGGGAAAGCCGCGATCGACTGAAAGAAAGAGAGGGAATACCATGGCCGGAAATTAGTTACTGAGTATTTTCCGGGTCGAACTTCATCGTGAGCCTCAGATCTATACACTCCACCTTGCTGGACTCCACCTTTTTCTATCTTGGGTAGATCGTGCAGATAATGGTCGCGCTGGATTCTTATTTGGCCTTAGCCTTGTTCGTATCCATTGGCAGAGTCACTCGGAGTATCGGTTGCCACCTTAAACGGAATATCTGGATAATTACTTTTCAACACTCTGTATACGTCTCTCCAAGTGCTGTACGCGCCTTTGAACAAGTCTTTTGGCCCGTCTGGGATTTTGGTGTCCAAAGCTAACAGATGTGCGAAGGCCACTTTACGAATGTGGGCACCATTGTGGATTCTGCACCTGTAAGCTATATTTTTAGCATTCAAATACGAGGCAATGCCGGCGAAGCTAACTAACTGATGCCGATCAGAAGCAGGAATATGTAGACGGTCTGGACTGACCAATTGGTGAGGTATCCAGGTGGAGCCTGAAAGAATTAGGGCCAACTAGGAAGCATACCTACCTAGTACAGTGATACGTCTAAATTCTCATTGGAACAGGTGACGTTCTGTTGTTGCTCCCCCAAATGAGGAGCCTTGTTGCGAGAGCAATGTTCTAGTCGATCCAGGAAGTACTGTTTTGTGCCGTAATCTGAACATGCATCAAATGCCCTAACAGTACATACACCCAAACCACATACAGGCTAAACCTAATAGCCATACCCAAGGCGTATAAACATTACTCTCCTCTTAAACAATAACACATTTTATAGCCAGAATCCAACAGTTCCCCAATGTTGTGACTCCCTCCATAAACTCCTCGGGAACAAATCAGGATAGTTCTGTTCAGCAACACCACGCAGGGGAGTAGTAAATACGAAACCAGCCGTAGCCTGTCAATTGCCGACTTTTTCCAACACATCTCCATATACGTGCGCAATAATGCATCCACCTGTTAGTGTTGCAGGGCTTCCAAGAAATGAAGTTCGACCAACCTAGATCATCAAGGCTGTGTATAGCGGTGCCTAGACACTGACCTGAATCCATTCTCCGCTTCACTTCTTTCCGATCTAGTCAGGTTTTATATGACAATGTTTGAATACCACGAGAAATTTTTAGAAGTGCTGAGAGCGAGAGCTATAAATTCAAGGAAAGATTCTCTTTCTTCAAAGTCATCCAACTGCAACTTCAACTCCAACTCCAGCATTGAAACCTCCTTTCCCAAAATCAATTTGAATCACCATTATCAAGATGAAGCTCACCCTTGCCTTTATCCCTCTTGTTCTCGGCGTTAGCTACACAACTGCTATTCCCCGCCCTGTTCAAAACAGCGACCTCCTTCCGAGGGCTCAGATTGCCCATGACTGTCCTTCAGCCGATTTAGACACATGTTGCAGTGTAAGTTGATGGTATACCCCAAACATATTTTGAACATTGCTAATGTGAATTTCGTAAACCCAGTGCTCTGATGGAATGGGCTACTGCACCGGCGGCAAGTGCTATTGTAGCGCTGAAATCACCTCCGACGATTGGTGCCAGTGGGATTGGCTCGAGGTCGGATCGTGAGCTCATGGGACTATTATGGATCAGTTATGAACAATGAATCAATTTTTACGCGGCCACGGTTTTTTGTGAGCGGACGGGACATGTTTTTGCTATGAGTGTGTTCAGAGTGTGTCTCCAGATTGTTGTTTCAGTTTTCAACAGAGTTGTTTGGAGGGGTTTTGCGCGATGGGGACATTATATATTTCTTTTTTGAAGCTTGACAAATGAAACTTCTTGAAAGGATAATCAGAGTGGCATCTTAAAATGATCTCCTTTGGATAACTGTCAAAGAAATCAAACCAGTGTTTAATTTGGATTCTATGTTATCAACTATAAAGGGTTCCAAAACCAACATAAAAACTGGATTGTGTCGACTCCAGACAGAGTAACCGAGCATTTGGGAGTGGAAATGAACCTGAAAAAGCCCAGAGCAGGGGTGCCAGAATGCCCATGTACCAGATACTGTATCGTTCATCGTGGGATTCGGTGCACTTCATGTCCTTAATTCAACCAATTGACAAGGAAGAAAACATTTAAAGCATCTGAACTCTTCCACAAGGCCCGAGATGAGACTGACTATATTTGTGAAATCACAGAATGCCAGCTTATACACAACCAAAGGGGAACGACAGTCGAAAAAGCATAGCCAGTGCGATGGGTTGTGTTGTCTTCCTGCCCAATCGCAGGTCATTCAATATCGACCGACGTAATGCTCAGTGCTCCCGTGGTTGACCTGTGATGAGCTGAGTCGACTTGCTTTATCGTACCGAAAAGATCTGTTGATATGTATGTTGAATTCCTAATTCAACGGATCCAGGGGCTTCCCACTCGGGGCTTGAGATGAACTTGGACAAGATGCTTGCTACCGCTTGGTCAGAGAAAGTCAAGATTGTGTCGTCTGCACGTCGCACTCTATTTGATCGCACATGCTGGTTAATGTGTAAGATGCTTTGTCTCTAGAACAAAGCCAGGGCACAGATGAGCGTAGCTGAGCCATGTCCATAGCCTTTGAGATGCGTGTCAGTTAGTCAAGACTGTCACACGCAACCTCTGCTCGGTACCTTCACGACACCAAGATACCTACCCATTTTCCTCTCGGGGGGGCGACCTTTCAGTTCTCAAGAATGCCTTGAAGAATTCTTTCACAGCACTGAAGCTTGCCCCTGTTGTTCCGGTGGTACTAGGGCAGCACCTGACAGAGGTTGAAAAGTACATTCAGATATCCTCGCATGCTGTCAGTTGCTGCCCTGATTGCGTTGTGCATATTGAAGTAACATCATAATTCTTGCGGAAGGTGATCTTCCATGTCAAAGCGCGTGCTGGAATTAAAGGGTCCGTCAATCCGGTGGCATTTGGATTCATGTCTAACGTTCAGCATCCGTAAAACCAGAATAGTACCCTGAGGGGGTCAGCAGGGTTGATACAGAGGGGGTCGTATATCTCACTCGATTTGAGATTTGAAAACTTGATTTTTGAACTAGAAAGCTCATGGCAATAGCTCCTAATAAAGTCCGTCCCGTACTAATCCAATGGAGACTAAACATCGTCATACTTACGAAGCGAGATGGCGTTCACGTAGTGCCCTCAATATACACCCTGGGGGCTGTGTTTATATAAACACTTGTTGTGGCTGCCTCTTATTCGTGCACTTTCATTTCCTTCTAAATCATATCGGTATTCCGGATGAGTTTCGGTCATGTACAGTGCTTCATAGCAACAAGTACAACTCCGGAAGCAAGGCTTTGAACGAATTGGAGATATTAATTCTCTGTGTCGACCTTTGCTAGCTGGTCTGCTCAAGATTCACAACGAGTAGTAATAAGGTTAGAGCCGAAAGGTCAATTCAGAAATAAGTTTGAGCAGTTTATATATGGATAATTGTTTTCTTTTTTGAAATCGACAACAGCATTGAGAGGGTATCCGCAGGCGTGCCTCTTCTCAAATTCGGAGACTGTGATCCTGTCGTTCTTATGCCTTTCGAACTTGCCCGGGTCATGCTTGAAGTTGCACTGCTTGACACCTAGACAACAATGTCCATTCAACCGATGAAGACAGTCTATGGTGTTGCGGTTGCAGGCTGCAAAAACTGGAGTCATCATGATACCAGATTGTATTTTGCAGACAAAAGAGCAAAAATGGAGGTCATCGTCATTAAAGATTGTGGGTCAGGCTATGGCCGAAAAGGAGCATGATAGTTGGTACTGTGCTGTATTCCTAGCTATCTCTCGTGACCATTGGTGATGGGAGAGTGGTCTCGCTCCATCACCGTGGGCTCTCCAACAAAGATTAAATAACCCGTTCTCAGTCCGTCTATCACCTTCGGTGAATTTCAAGTTGAGTGGGAGATCGGGCATATTCTTTCAGCCAGGTACATGAAGCCCTAAAACGATGCTTCCGCTTAGCCAAACGATTTTATTGTAAAACGGATTTATATCGACAGAGGAACACCTCGTCACTGTGCTGGTGTTTGGTGCATGATCCTCCCAGGAAGTCGCTGACATGTGTGGCACCATTGTTAGAACGGGTTGAAGGGGGGTCTCGATTCAACAATGGCATATTCGGGTCATTCGCCGTTGTGTATCTCGACTGCATCAAATATCAGCTTTCGTACAATGGAGGGTGTATAGGAAACAACGCATGGGATGGCTCACCAAATGCTTGTCCGCGACAGCGTTGGTTGAGAGGCTAGCCATGCCGTAATATTGCTCTCCTGGTACTCTTGGCTGTAACCCACAATGTTATGTATCAAATGACAACAAGCGAAATGCCTATTTTTGCACCCATCAATGCAGCTGATCTCGCGATCGCATTTAAATATATTTTTTTTCGACAGCATTGAATAGTTTCTGGATCTTGACATGATATGATTGATGAGAGCATACACGACTTGTGTTCATCAATGCCCGAACCAATTATCTGATGGTATGCAAGATCTTTGTAATAGTCGTATGCATACCTAGGAGAGTTGGACTCGGAGGCTCGTATCTGGCGTCATGGTTTGTGATTTTTACGATCCCATTTGTACCAACGCTGACGGTTGCCTTGATCCAGATGGAGATTAAAAACCGAACAATCGTTCGGCTTTCCGACGGGATCTAGGGCCCCCTAGAATATTCCAAGCAAGGTATGGAGGCTGTCCAACACGGTGATCACGTTCCTTTCCTCATTAATTTCCTCTGGGCTTAGGCAGTCCCTAAATGCGGGAAAGTAGCGGTAAATGTTAGACCAAATATCGGCAATCTTGTACTCATTTGACTTGTCCAGAATATTCAGGGTAAACGGAGGGACCGAGACTGTTGATCCCGCTGGCACCGACCATAGGGAGTGTGGGAAGTCCTTAGATCCGGCCTCGAGCCAGGTAGGCCAAGAAGAGGCTTCAAATATGGCCGTGAACGAAAAACCCGAGCCCTGGAAAGTCGGAGCCTGTTCCTACAGTCTCTTATTTCGCTTTGGTGGATTGTACAGAACCATGAGCACGTTTCTGGCGTGCCCAGATGCTAACATTAGGACGGTAGCACGCGACGTAGATACTCCTGACCAAGAAGCGCTGTTACGAGGCGCAATTGGGTCCCATGTATTCACCAAACGAATCCTGATGACGGTGCTAGGACGAGGTCAATCCTGCTTATTGCAAGTAGAACTCTCGCTTTAATTGGTGAGGCAGACGCTCTCGCCTGTCTCAGCATCTCTGCTACCTCCTAGTCGAGTATTGTTGAGTCAAAATTAGCCGAATGGATTATCGTGCGTTTCATACTGCTGAGTATCACAAGTCGGCCTTATTTGCTCTCCGTCTCTCAACAGCTCTTGCACGCGGTTTCTGCTACTTGAACATAGTCAAGAACAAGGCAGATTGGCTAGTCATGCACAAGGTGTCTTGATCATATATAGTGACTGTAAAATCGGCACAACATTCTCTACTGTGGTATCCCGCTATGCCATGTCAAGTCTCTTGCAACCTTCAATGCGAAGTATCAAGCAACCCCTACTCACAGTTAGTGCTATAAAGAATAATCAATCTGTGGTGAGAGTACTTACACCAATGCCCATTCTCATTTCAACTGATACACGATTGTATCAATAAATGAGCTTAACGGCACATGTTCCCCGTCGGTTCTGAGCTTGCATGGAGCTTCATGAGCATACCGTTGTACATAAAGCGTGCTAACAATAACCATCAGCAAGTAACGGAGAAGCTCGTGAATTTCTAACTCACTTCCACAAGAAACCAACAAGACACGCAGCTTGGGATGCTCATATATAGCATCATTGTCAGCCACAAGCCTCGCCCGTAGACCTTTCAATCAAAGGTCGTACGGTGAGAAGAATACGACCTTTCATCCAAATTTTTGGAAGCCCAAGCAGCACAATGGATTTGTAGTATTCTCCTTAAAGCGTTGGTCCATGGGCTGAAGCGAAATAATAAAAACGCACCATTAGTATGCAAGTTTATCAACAACATCAGGTGACAGGTTATGGCATTGTCCACGTAGACCAGAGCACATCATAGCTATTCGCGAACCACCATTATTGGTCGTAGGATCTCACAGACTTCATTCTTTTCAACCCGAGTCTCGAAAACTTGTAAGATGAGTCCAATGATCGCACCACGTGATGATTCGTTGTAGAGCAAGACGTTCCGTTTACCGATTAGTATGGTCGGAGAGTGATCGTCAAAGCTGTCCAGTGGGACACAACTATAAATAACCGGGGGTTCCCCAGAGGTCTGTGGCCTGCAGACAGTGGGAATGAGGGTGTGCTGCGGTATTCACATATCGAGTGAGTCAGGCGAGTGCATGTCAATCTTTCGACACGACATGGCGGCCAAATTACCAGGATCCCAGCCAGAATTTACATCGTGCGATTGGTCTTCACTTTCCAGTTGTTAGTCCCTATGTTTGCAATATCCTTCGGAAGTACTGGTCTGCGGCGACCATTCCGGGAATATTTGGTCGTAATTCTCAGACAATGCATTGATTTAGGTCGGTTGACGTTGATAAAACCAACAAAAGGAGTGGCAGCGA